TGACATATAATGAAGAGATGATTCCTGCCCTGATGAATTTTTGATCCAAGTTCAAGCTGATATACTTTATGACTAATCAGCAGATGTAGACAGATAAACAGAGGATTTAAGGAAACAATGTGATGGAGCAGAGAGAGTATTATCAGATTATGTTTTGCCTCTATATTCTTGCCTGGAGAGGTTTTTTGGTGATGAAGAAAGGGAGCATTTCTTTTCCTCTGCCATATTTTCCACAACTGCTTTATTCAGCGATTCTCCAAATAATCTGCTGCCTTGAAGGGGAACAGTTGTGACAAGCTGCTTCTCTTGTGAGTCAACCTTCCAGGTCTGGATGATGAAATGCAGAATTGGTTGCCTGGGCCCTGGGGTTTGGATGGGGAAGGAGAGGGGGGAGCTGGGGGAGGAATAAAACCATATCTATTTGCTGCATCTGCTTCCAAAGGAGATTGCAGCAAATATTTTATTCAGCGGAGTTGGAGGTCTCCTGTCTCTAGAGAGCAGGAATTTGTTGATTTCCTCATGCCAGGCAAGAATTGCTTATGCAAAGAAAAAGGTGAGAAAATATCTTGGAAAGTCCCTGCTTGTGTCTCATCGTTTCTTCAGTGAGGCCTCCATTTTTCCATCCATTTGATACCCTGGCAAGGCATCTGCCTCATGTGGAAATACCTTTGCCTCTGTGAGAATATCCAATGCTCTGACAAGACTGGGAATCTCTTTTACAATGCATGCAGTCAGTACTTCATCACCCCTTCAAATGGTTGCTACTCCACTTCAGATTTAATTATGGTCTAGCCACCAGGTTAGACCAGGTTCCTTTTCATTGCCAGTTAGAAAAAAGTATCTACTTACTTCCTCAAGTATACAAGCTAAAATGACTGAGAAGGAACTGAGAGCAGAAACAGCAGACTACCTACTCTGCACAAGTCATTTTATGGACCTAAGGAAGGACACCCAACTCAGAGCCCCCAGGGCTGGGAAAGGGCACAAGAACATGAACAGATAGATTCACTTTCTGTTAGAAGAAGGTTCCATGAAAGAACCAGCACAGATATAGTGACCATATATCCTGGGCAAACCAGGACAGTCCCAGCTTCCATAGGCCAGTTCCAGCCAGTTGGTCAAAAATCCTGGAAAGGAGTCTGTTGGGGATGGAGAGAGGCGGGCACCACTGTTGCTACATGCAAGCAAGATGGGCTGACTGAAGAGTTCCCTCCAGACTCTGTTCTGCAACTTTTGATCAATGGACCAGGACTGGATTGTGAAAGCCAGGACCGTCCTGGTTTGCCAGGGCTTATGGTCACCCTAAGGATAGAAGTCATATGGGAAACAGATAGAAAGTACTGATTCACTTTTCCACCTTCTATTTGTTTATTTCCACCCTGGACTACTGCAGCTCTGTGGAGTTTACTATAATCTTATTTGCAAAGGCAGAATGTTAGGAAGTATGAGATTGTGGGTTATGAGATAATGAAAGCTCAGTAGAGACATCATATACATCATTAAAAAAAAATCTTTACAAACTGACTGGTCACTAATTTCTTACATTCGTGAGTACTTCCAGTTTTTGCCAAAGGAAGAAAAGAAATGAGTATTCCCTTTGGTGCAAAGTGGTCTTCTTAAGTCTACACTGCAAACTAACTGTGGCCTGGCAATAGCACAATCAAGCATGCTGTACTGCTTTTTGCAGGTTTCCTCCTGAACTGGAAGCAGTGTAGCTGTGTCTACAAAGTGTTGCAGGCAGGTTGATAAGCATATGGACAGGATTACTGGCACTGCCACTCAATAGAGCCAATTAAGCCCATACGGAGCACTAAGTGGAGGCAACTATCAGCTGCCAAGAACAGCACAATTTGTTTGAAGGCTCTGCTGATGGCCACACAAAGTTTGCATTGAGACATGCCCTTTCATTAAATTCAAAAGTTAACTAAAACCAATTCTGACATGCTCTTGTAGGAAACAAACACATTTCCTACTCCCATAACATGAGGTGCCCTGTAGAATTGCAAGGTAAGCCTGCTCCAAAACCAGCTGGAGTTTTTCCATTGACATTGATGGAGTCTAAATCGGGCTACATCTGTTCTTTTCTAGAACTTAAAAGTGGCAAATAGGTCACATGGGCATGTTTCTCAGAGCTAACACCTCTAGAACAGATCCTTAACAGTTTTTTCCCCTTCTTACCCTCTGCTTGTAAATGCTCCTCTTAACCCTTTACTTTTCTATGCCTTTATTTCCCCAATGACATTTACCCCTCCTTTGAAAAGCACTAGATACAAGATACATTGCTGCAATTTCTCATCGTCTTTCTCCCCTTCTTTGTTTAAGGTGGTCTCTCTCTCTCTCTCAGCTATGGATGCACTCACTTGGCCTTCAAATCCAGGAATATCTCCCACATCCTCCCTCTTCTTACCTTCCTAAGTCTCTCTATTTTGCAAGACTTAAATGTTTCTTAATGGTAAATCCAAAAAGCCTTTGCTCAAGGAAGCCCTTCTGGAGTAGGTCCACAGAAGTAAACAAAATAATTTACATTAGTTAAACATCTGGAACAAAATGTGTGACAGTATTTGATCCCTGTAAGTGATAAATGTCTTAAGCAGAGACAGAGTCTTGCTATATATTTGTAAAGAGGCATGAGCTTTTATGATGTTAAATAGACCATTTTTAACAAACACTGAATTGAGAAAAATGATTTTTGATAAATTTGGGGAAATGTGACTCCCCCTGCACAATGTGCACGGTGTGCAGATGACTTTCCTTTTTAAGGGAGTGATTTACAAACCTGCCACCACATCAGGTAGAACAAAGCTGCATCATGGTTCTAACAGCTCAGACTTGGATTGCTTTGTAGGTGGAAAAACAGGCTCAGCAGAAATCTTACTCAGCCACACAAATACATGCATGCATACTGTATATAACAGCCCTCTAGTTGCCATTGTGATCCAGCTGTCACTTCACCAACCAAAGCCTTTTGTGGTGATATCTGATAGCTGGATTCTTTGCAGTTATAATGAATTCCAAGTTAATGACATTGACCACTGGGTCTAGTAAAGAATCTGAATGCCAAGCTATTTCCCCACCTCCCAACCAATGTCAGCTTCCCTAGTACAATGAACACATGTCAAACAGTCAACATTCCCTCCTAGAATAACTACAGACAAAACCCCACGATGCATAATTAGGCATGTGTTTTAATCCAACTGGATTAGTAATCACAAACTTCTGTATCTGAGGTACAGCTATTTGAGCACAAATATCCTCTGTTCAGAGCTGTGGTGAAAGTAGCAACTTTAGAATCCTTTATGCTTGGGCCAAAGCCTCAAGTCCTTAATATAAACCCCCATTGGAAAGCCACATTTAAAATGACTGTGGAGTAGAGTCTTTCCCATGGCTGACTAATCTTTATGTATAATTTTCAAATGACGACTAATAATTTCATAAAAGAGGAGGATTTATAAAACTACATTAATATCAGTATTATACAGCTAGGTATTGTGATGCTTCACACACATCTGTTAGTGTGGTCCCAGTAAATGTGTTAAATTACTTTGCATTAAATTATGCAACTGTGTTAAATTATTTTGCATTACGTTTATTTGCATTACTGTAGTGCCTGGAGCCCTCCTCATTGACTAGCACCCAGAGTGTGAAGTTGCACTATGCTTAGACCATACTGGGAATGTTAAGAAGTGTTAAAATAAGACCATATTGGGCACATCTACATGGTCATTACCATGCTTTTGCTAATGCACATTAAATTTAGTACCTCCATGTGCCTATACATGAGCGTGGAGACTGCAATTGAGTCTGCTGGAGCATGGCAATTGCTGTGCTCCAGCAGCCTCCTATGTCTCGTGTATCAGCGTCCCTGCACTTAAAAATGGGGGCAGGGGTGCTTGAACTAAAGCTGTCGAACGACCTTTGTTCAAGCACCCTCAATGCCATTTTTAAGTATGGGGATGTTGACACAGGAGATGCAGTGGTGCTTTAATTAGAGTGGCTTTGAGATCTGCTCTAATTCAAGTGCCGCCCTCCCCACCCTCAGAGCATGTGTAAAAGTGCCTTCCATTGTGAGATATTTGAAAAAGGCACATTAGCCTATTTTAATGCATATTAGTGAAAATGCATGGGTTTTTTTTGTGAAGCTTTAACACACATTAAAACAGGTGTGCATCAAAGTGCATGCATCCACCATGAGCAGTTAAACAGTTAGGGTTAATACCATTTCTGCCTGCAGAGCTCTGACTTGCAATTAGAGGACTGATGAGCAGAGGCTTGGCTAGAAGCCAGGATGAGGCTCTATCCCTGCTCTGGGGATAAAGTGGGAGCTGGGAACAGTGCATCCTGGGATGCTGGAGGACTGCATAATTGCTCATTTTATCTCCATGGGCAGACTAAAGTTACCCTAACTCAAGCTAGATACCACAGCCCAGAGTGAACCCTTACCTGAAGTGGTTTTACTTTTAAGACCCTCAAAGAGCACTTAGCACAAGTTAATGAGCTTTAATGTACAGACACTCACATATAAAGTGCTCTTACTATGTTCTCAATGTAATGTGGAACTAGACCCTCGCTGTGCTAAAGACTCTTCAAACACAGAAATAAAATGGGCCCTGCCTCAAAGTATTTCTAGGTCAGCTGTGTCAGTTTGTGATGCTAACAAATGGAGAGAAAGGTGAAATTACTAAATTCATTTTCACCTATGACTTGGCACTGGGTTTTCAATTGAGAATTAAAAGGATGGTGCATTTATCCAAGTTTTTCCTGAGGGATTTGGCCCCTTTTGTTTAAATAAAGTCACTTTTCATCTGCCTGGTTTAGAGGGGGGCATACAGCACTGTCTTCTGCACTCTTCTCACTGCATTCTCCTGATCCCTGGTAGTTGCAACAGCCTCCTGGGGCCCCTGGCTCAAGTCAGACCAGCCTTTAGATTGCTGTTTTTTATGCTAGAAGACTTAGATTAGTAACAGCCAACAAATAGTCTGGGAAATGTAAAAGTAGCCTACCTTTGTACTCCCTGGCTCTCAGCTATACTCAAGTAGGCAACTGACTTTTGTGCCCTCTGCTTGACGAAAACAGAACACCACAAAGTATCAGAAGATGCTTCATTGCAAAAAACACAGCAAATTATGCTGTATTACTGGAAAATTATAATGGGATTTTGTAACTGAGGATGGTATTGTAATGACATACAAAAGGGTTGCATAGACACTCTCAACACTGTCATTTTCTGATTTCTGAGAGCTCAGATATACAATGTGAACACATATTCACATAAAAACAAATGTCCACTTACACAAGGCATCATCACTGACTAGAACAGCCTGTCACAGGTATAAACTCAGCCTGCAGTGCTTAGTGAAAAAGCGGTCATCAAGTGACCATGAATACTGGCTTTGTACAATAAACCTGAACACACAGAAAGAATGAAGGTAGCAGGAGGATCAGAAAAAGAAACATTTCAAATTAATGAGAAGTTCCTGTTTGATTTTTCACAACAACTTAAATCCAGAATCTGCCCCTTGCAAACACATGGGCCACTCCCATGGAAACAGCATGATTGCAGTAAGAGCCACATAATATCCAGATACTGAATTTGGCTCTTAATACTTGTTCTCCCCTAAAAAACAAAACACACTGGGTTGGACTACAATAAAAAAAAATGCTACTACCACTGAGTACACCACACATTTCCAGTCTGCAAGGTGCATCTCTATTGCCTATCCTTAAGTGACTGGGCTAAATTCAGACTTGGTACGTATTTGTGGTCAATTATACTACATTTAAATTTAGTTCATTCCCTGCCTGGAACCCATATTGCTAAGAAGAGGAGATGCATAGGCAAAAAGCAGTACATCAGCAGAGATCCACATTCTATAGATCACAAAAGAAAATTTTTCCCTGAAGTAGCAAGATAGGAGATAGGTAGTATATCCCTGTAAAGCAAGCCACACTTCCTTTGTATCGTGCCTCTGGCATATCCTAATTCAAAACCCCCTTCCATCTTAGCACGTTGTCAATTACAAACGTGGACATAACACAGTAGCATTAGAACTGCTGAGCTGACCTATCATGCCAACCTGTGGTCTTACCAGTATGGGCAATTAGAGAATTTAACTGAAAAGACAATTAAATGTGCTCTGCTCACCTTCGAATGACATCCCTGATAAACAGCCTTCACAGAGCTGTGCAAGTTTCTACACCCACAGATGTCAGGGATTGGTCATTTTAAATACATATCACTGCAATTTTTCAGAGGAGCCCAGTTCATGTGTTATTTAAACAATTCAAAGGTTGAATTTATAAAATAATGAGACAAAGCACCCCCCTCCGCACCTCCAAAATTGGACAATTGGATCACCAGTATATGTCTATGATTTCTATGATATAGGCTGCCCTGACAAGTTTGATGTGTTGAAAACATGAAGCAGATGTTCATTTTCTCCAGATCTATTACAAGTTTTATGTCCTGAAATTATCTTCAAATTTCTTTCTTTTCCCCCCAAATGTTATAGACACAGAAACATTCAATAATGGAGAAAACATTTTTGTAGAGTGGTCTTTGTGGATTTTTTTTTGTCTACTGCTAGTTTTAAATATAAAGTATAGCATATGTTTAACACGGAGCATATGGAAAAAAGCAAAATCATATCTTGAATTCCAGGGAAAACTGTCTTGATACAAAAGCTACCACACAGAGAAACTGGTCACTGGAAAATGAAAAAGTAATATATAGAGATCTTTATATCTCCTCCTCCTAATCCTGATATAAATCAGTGGTAACTACCCTGAAGTCAATGAGATTGTATTGTGTAGAACTAGTGTAAATCGGACCCGAATCAGGTTTGGTAGAAAAATGCTTAAATTCACTGGCCATTCTATCTTTTCATTATTTACATTCTTATCCTAGAAGTCAGCAACACAGTGGCAACCATCTGTCTAAGAACATCTGAATAAAAGAGCTCTTTCATGACAAGAGAATAAATATAGTCGAAAACCTGTTAAAATGGACTGTTGTCTGATCAGGGGACAGGAATTACCCACCCCTTCTAAAGCTGTCATGCACAAGTGTCATGTGTTTGGCACTGTGCAGGTTTGAGGGTGCAGCGTTCCTTGTAGAAAACTCATACCAACAACATTAACGTCTAATATGCATTTTCAACCACTCTCCAGAGGCTAGGCACATGGCAAAGGCAAATTTCAGTCCATCTTCCCAAGAGATATTTTTTTTTAACAGAAGAGCATGTTTTAGCTCAGTGCCTTGAGAAATGACTGTCAATGGTATAGGAGTCACCTGTTGGTAGTGAATTCACTGGGTGAAAGAAACCAAACATCTCACCCCAAACAGGTATGCTTTTGCAGACATGTCATCTTACAAAATGCTTCAACAAGATGGGAGGAATGTGGATGAGAGTTTGGCTACTCCTTAATGGGTTAAGAAAAGCTGAGGTCATTGGTATGAGCATTATTTATATGATTATAGCATAGAGAAACCCCAGTCAGGGACCAGGACCCCTCTTTGTTTAGCACCTTGAAGACAATGAAAAAACAGCCACTACACATTATGTTTATGGTTTAATTTTAATCTGATGAGAAAGATTAGTTTAGCTGACAGGAAGCAAATATTTGTAATAGCTCCTTAGTGCAAGGCTGCCTATGTGAACACAAACAGGTTGATAATGAGAACCTGTGGCTGGAGATGGACAGGTCTATGGAGAAGACAGGCTGTGTATACCACAAGCTATTTTACTTGGAGAATGTCAGATCATCAGTAAAAGCACTGGAAATGAAGTGCACAGTGATAGGTATATGTGTAATACTGTCAATAACCAAGCAACATTTCTTGCCAAGGTATTATTGTATGGTCATCCTTATTTTTGAGAGGCAAGGGAAGGAAATGATTAACTTATGAGAAACAGTGTGCCAGCATTGATGAGGATATCTGTCTGGACAACCACAAGTACGGATCCCATTGTAGAGTGCAGCTCTTAATTGATTGGTCTCGGTGGGAATGGTATTTGATTCAGAGATGACTCCTTAGCCCATCTGCCAGTGGTGCTCATATTCTCTCTTTTTGTTATTAATGCATTTCAGTTTTAGAGAGGAGTCTATGTTCCTTATGTTTTGTCTCCACACAGAAGTTAGTGTTTAATTTAAATATTTTTTTAAACTGTGTCTAAATCCCTTTGTGGATGTACTTATTTTGATTAACAATTACTTTATTTTGATTTAACTTAAACCTGTTCCTAGATTGTTTAAAATAACATAGAATATGCCAGGCTTATGTCAGTGAGAGCATCCGTATCTACCTTTCACATGGGTTAAACCAATTTGATTTTAAATCACAAGTTAGTTAAATAGGTAAAACTTCGCTCATCTATAAACCTGCAAATGAATGGACTACGTTTATGTGAATAAGGGAGCTAAGAACAATTTATCTTAAAGTGTGAATTTCTTAGAATTGTTTATCTGCTTTTGAAAAAAAGTCAATAGGACCCAAATATTGAAAAAATAAATATAGCTCTGCAGGATGACTGCTATAAACAAGTATGCATGTATACAGAGCTAGAGCCTTAACATTCCATCAGCCTTATCAGGGATTTCCTTCACTGCGGGGCGAGTTCCACTGATTGATACGGAGTCCCTGCTAAGACGACATTCCCTCCCTGGAGGACAGATGGAATTTGAAGGCTCAGGGCCTGTTTACGTATAAACATACCCAGGCAAAACCATGCCTCTGCCTTAATAGACACAGAAAGTCTTGAAAAGGAAATATATAGCTTGACTGCAAAAGAGAAGCAGCTCAGGATGATGCAGGACTGGGTGAAGGGCACACAGATTCTGATCAATACAGAAATTTGCTGTGATGGACTTCCATGGGCAGCTGCAGGATAGGGGTGAGAGTAGATAGAGACTGGTCCCAATAGGACCCTGATCCTGAGTCTTCCCCCATATGGCATGGTGATCATATATTACATGAGGACATAAGAAGGATACTAATGAAGGCTTGGATTATGCAAAATGGAGTCTCTCAGGAATTCCCAAGGAAGATGATTATGTTCCTGTTTATCATTATTCTTTATCTTTTACACTGGGAAATAAGCTACAGTTTTGAACAGATATTTCACAGCATAGTAGAAATCAGCAATTTAAAGTTGTATAAAATAGGAAGAGACTAACATGCATATCCTTTCACCTCTTCCATCAAAAATAAAATCATCAGACTATATTCCACTTAATTTTTTAAAGCAACAGATTATTCTAAAAGGGAAAACAAAATAATCCCCAAGACATGTGGGCTACTGCATATATCCATATATGTAAAGATCCTTCAATATTAACTGACCAATTGAGTCCATGTTAGTCATAACATCTAAGCTGAAGTAATGAAACAAGGATATATTAAATAAATATATACCCTTTGCATGGCAACTGATTTTTCTTTAAGACCGTGCCAGTATATTCCTTCCCTTAAAAGCTGTGGGTGGGAGATGGGGAATTTGTTTGTGTACCAGGGTAAAAAGGAATATATTTTATTCAGAGAGAGACTCAGGAAGAGTACAGTTGATTTCATCAACAGCTGAAGTGAGGGACAGCAGCTGCAGATGTTTTGTGCTCACCGGTGGGCCTTCTTCCCCGAGTTCCATTACTGCCAGCAGCAAGCAAAAAGCTCTAGGTACCATCTTTACTCTCCCTTTCTCTCTCTCTCTCTATTTATTTTTGAGAGCACTTCCAGATAAATGCCAGTCATTTGGCCAGGGCTAACTCACAGAAGGTACAGCAGGCACAGATGGTACTAATGCATAAATGTAATCTAGCAAAAGGATGCCAACGCCAACCCAGAAAAGGTTCCAAATAGCTGCCGTGCACTTACAGGAATATAGTGATTGGCAAGGTTAAAGCTGAGATTTGCAAGAGCTTACTGTTCCCAAATCAACAATAGACATTCTAAAACAAATGAGCATATTTATTTATTAATTTATAAAATGCACCTAATACCAAGATCTCTGGGCATATGCATAATTCTGAAAAAACACCCTTCCCCAAAACCTACTAAACAAA